ATATATATAAAAATTTTACAAATAAAATGTTAAAACAATAAACTGTAATGTCTAAAAAGTGTAAAACAAGGTTTAGTGGTGATATGTAAAATTAACCGAGTTATGCATCTAAAAGAAGCAAAGAAGTAAACTTATATGATCCATAATTAAAAGAACATTAAATTCTGGAGAATATCAAATAAAGTTTTGACTGTAGGCTGCACATTAAAAAGAGCCTTTATTTTATGTGCACAGAAATCATAGCAGCAAGCTGGTATCGGGAGAACAATCTGAAAGTTGTTGAGTGTACATGTGGGCCATTTAAAGCTCTCTTGGAATAAACATTTCCAGGAAGTGATAAAATGATGCTCTGTGGCCAAAAGCATCAGAACTATGAATTTCATAGATTTAAAATATACTGTACAATATCTTCTCATATTTTCATAGGTCAGGTCCATACATCTCGGGCATGAATTGTTTCAACAGAAGCCATTAGTGCTGAAAGACAGACACAGATTAAGTTACTCTATTTCAGCAACAACAGAATACTGTATAAAGAAACTCCTGGAATTAAACACAGCAAGGAATTTCTGACCTCATCCTAGCAGTTGTTATCAATGGTGTAGAACATAATAAAGTATCTTAGAAAACATTTGTCTCAAAAATCAATTTTCCTGATGAATACTTCTGTCCAGATACTTTGACAGCAAGAAGCAAAGGCAAGCTTTTTTTAAATTTACACAACTTTGCATGAAAGTCTGCTTATTCTGAGAGTTTTATCCTGTTGTACATGGCCATCTCCAAATGTTTTTCATATAAAACCTGTAATAATAGCAAAGACCCTATTGCTCTTAAAAATGACTGGCACAGTTTGAAGAGGGATGAGGTATTACTTGGTTGCTACACCATAATGGCAGCATAGCTGACAGGTGTTTTGAAGTTCACGTGTTCCACCCAGAGCTTGCTGTATTTTGGTAATTGCTGAAAGGACTTCTATAAATAGCTTTTAACAGTTCATTAGTAAAAATGTTTCTGAACTTTGAATGCAGGTGCTGTATAAAATTCCATTATCCCTCCATTACTCAGTGTGAAAGCAATGCCTAAAACGTAACAACACTAGTGGTATACATCCAGATTCATCCCTGCAAAGCAAGAGCCGTGACAAAGAAAGTAGCTTCGTGTTAACAGGTTTTTCCTTAGTCCTACAATATCCTGTACCACCGATTTCCTATGCCAAATTCCCCTGGCATCGTGCTAAGAGTATCATTTTACTAATTGACTGTAAAAGCCAAATATAGGTATTACCTCATTATTGTCAGAAATCTACCATACATTTTCCAGATGCTGCCTGAAAACTTCGGTTGCATGTGAACAGGGCTGATCCCACAGCTCTGAAATTCTGCCTGCCGCATAGGATTTCTGGCATCTGAGAGACACTGAGTTCTCGCACGTTCAAAGACCTATCTTCCAGCAAAGTGCAAAGCACAGGAATACTGACACGACAGCCCTGGAAGGTAAGGGGCAGTAAATACTGCAGCCAAGCAGAATATGCTTCATACACCTCCTACATATACTGGGCCCTGCTCATAAGCCGGATTTGTTTTGGAGCCCCAAGGAAACAACTTTGATGCCCCCTGCATCAAGGGCAGCAAAGAAATGTGGAATGTATATGCACATAGTTGAATACTTTTTCCAACCTAATTAAAATACTAAACAGCCAAAAGGGGTGTATTTTAAGTTCTGGAACCCTTGCTTCATTACAGTGAGGCATGTGTAAGCAGAGCATTAGTTTTACAAGTGCCATCCCAGATGCACTGTTTTGTCATAAGCAGTTAAGGCTTTTTTGTAGAATGGTACTTAACATGGAAATGTTGCAGCTAGAGTATTACCTATGAGGATACACCACACTGTGGGATGTCAAGGCTTGGGCATTAAGTTACAACTATAAGTGCTTCACTTCTGCTAATCTCACATTTAATGTAAACACTTAAAGAAAATAAATTTGCTGATCTGATTATTGGAGCTGATTACAAGAGCTGAAAGCAACTTAATGCAATTGGTAAAAAATTTCTGGCAAAGTTATAGGTTGCTTCCCCTTTCCAGAGAGGTGTACTGTGGCTATGGACAGAATTCTGCAGCACAGTTTCAGTTTCACTGCTGACCTGAACTGAGTTGATGGGGTAATGTTTGTCCTATTTAAAAAGAAGATGCATGATAAATGCATGCGTATTTATCCAGTGAAACTGAAAAGCATTAACACAAATCAGTATTTCCACAAAAACTGAACAGTCCCACTTATCTTCTTTAAATAGTTCTGTAATAAAACTTTTGAATAAAAGTACAAAAGTCCAAGCTAAATCTAATCATGACAGACCACATCCATCAGGGGCCAGCAACACACGTGTCAGTACTGAAGGCGAAGAGTGCATTTTCCACTCTCTCAAAAGCAGAAAAAGATGAAAATAATTTCCTTTTATTTTTTGAAGAATATAAATAGTTTCCTGGCCATAGTTCATAGAAGAAAGGGGGTGTCTGTGATGAATAAGTCTACTTTTGCTGAGATGAAAGCTTAGCAATACAGATTGGGACAGTAAACAAGAAAACAAAACAAAATAGGCATTTTCAGCTCTCCTCATGCTAAACGACTTGAAAACATCTTGAATGTAAAGTTTTCTTAAGTTACATTAGCTATGGCATTTAACATTACTATTGAAACAAATGTCATTGTTTTAGTAGAAAGCTTATTTAAACAGGTACTTCCTTGATAACAAAGAACTGTGGATTGATTTAAATGCTGGTAAAGTCCTGAAGCATTCACAATGGTATCCTATTAATTTCTTTAAGCCCTTGTATAAACAAATATGCTTACTTATATTTCCATTTCCATTCATTAAGTAGGCAACGCTACAGGTAGGAACACGTAAATCTAACCTAATTCATGCTTTCTAACTTGATTCTTAGAAGAAATCACCTACAATGACAAGGGAATAGAAACTGTGTAGGGCTATTTCTACAGAATGGAAAAAAAGTTTTGTAATTGTCACATTTCTTCCACCCTCATTTTTTCCCTTCCTGTTTGTCATGCCTTAGTCATCTATGTCTTAAGCCATAAACTCTTTGGGCCATTAGACCATTCCCTCCGATGCATCACTGAGAGATCTAGCTTTAGTTGCCTGTTACCACAACTGAAGCATCAAGATTCACTTGGACGCCAAGTATTGGCTACAGATGTTTCTCAGAAAAATAACTCGAATACATATACTTAGAAAAACATTAGGAAAATGGCAGGAGGGGTGGGGAAAAAAAGACGTACTTCTCTGTAACTATACACACATGAAATGGGATCCTTCTGTGAGCTGTGTCTGTGTAGATGGAGCTGGTGACAATGACGATTCTGGTGAAGAAGGCAAACTTGTCACTGCAAGTCATACAGCAAGATAAATAAGAATACAAGTTACAAAAGGCATGATTTCAAGCCATAATAAATATAAGCTTGAAAATCACAATTTCAAGCCATAGTAAGTATAAGCAGAACAAATGAAAGTTACATAAGTAAAAACGTAAAATCTGATCAGCACAATGAGCACAAGTTCAGGGGAGAGCATAGATGTTTTCAAGAAAGATCATTACTCAGGCCTATAAGTGACTAGCAGAACAGCTAAGGGACAAACAACAGACACATGAATGCTGATATGTTATTTATGCTGCAAAGAGAGAGGAAAAAAAAGAAGTAAAATTTAACTAGTCTGCATACTCCCAGACCTACCTTTATATCCCAGCTCGGATAAACTAAGCATTTTTTATTCTGCTGAGCACTATAAAATATATTTACAAGTTCTGGTTTTGATTATCAAGTCACTGACAGGACTGCTGACTGCACTACAGAGGTCCAGGTCACCTTTTATATCCATAAATTGAACCATTTGGCTTACTTAACCATTCCCATCACCAAATATCCTAATAATGTCTTAAATTCTATCTCCTTCCTTCCTCCTCCCTTACACATTCTCCTCTTTTTTCCTTTGCAAACAATTTTGATTACTCCAGACTTCTCCCTCTTGCAACATAGTACCTACCAGTCATTTTGACAGTCATCCAGTGTTTTCTGTTTCTTCATCTTTTCCTACTCCTGAAAACATGACCAAACTGGGGTCTTTTACTTGCTTGTTCAAAATCTACTAGATATATTGGAAACTCTCAAGCATTCCTCAATCTTGGGCATACTTGAGGCCATCCATTAGCAAGGAGGTAAGGGTAAATAATCTATACATATCCAGGATTGAGATGCTGTTCTTTCTACAAGATGAATAGGGAAGGATTTGCTCCAACCAACAAGTACAGTATGACTCAATTTCTGGCAATAGTTATTTAATTCTCTGAATTAAACGCAACCATAAAAATCAGTATTAAAACCTCAGAAAAATGGAATTTCTGTAGTCTGCTGGGAAAATTTTTCTCTACATTATAAAATCATACACTTGACATCTAGACTAGCTCAGCACTTTCAATGCACAAGGGTTTCAGAGCATCAAAAGACATGATCAAAATGAAATAAAGTTTTACATGTGTATTGTATAAGTTGTGCTTCAGTCAAACTCTTTTCCATACCTGCTGTTGCCTGATTTCCTTTTGAAGACTGTGCTGCTAATTCAAATGAAGAAATAATCTCTCCTTGTTCTTGAACACTAACTACTTCACTTTCTTCTGAGCTGGTTTTGGGTTTGTGGTTTGTAACTGTGGTCACACTCTGCAAGCTGATTAAAAAAAGCACAGCATTTAGAACTCTGACTTAATTTCGGGTGTCAACCACTAAGTATAGGAGCTACAATTTAATTTTCTTCTATTAATATGAAAAAGTTGCAACTTGCAAGTTTGTGTAAAATAATTTAAGCACGTGTTTTGAAACCCTTCTACCTTGTAAAGTTAGACTTAAAAAAAAAAAAGTACTGGATACCGAATTATTTTCCTTTACATACTCATGCAGTTTCCTGCTGTGTCTATTTTGCTGAAGGGTGCTGTGAGAAAGTTATGACCTAATGTAAGAACTCACTCAGGATCTGCTGTGCATCTTACAATAAAGTTATGAATCCTTAAAGAGGAATATCCAAGACACAATATTCCTCTAATTCTGCAATACTCCAAATAGTGAAGCAAAATTTAAAGCAGGAGATAACAGAATAAGCTGTTCAGTCTGCTCCTGAATGTGACGCTTTCCTAAATATCAGAGGCAAAGAGCTAACTATGGAAGCCCTTGCTGAAGCTTCCATAATAAACTGATACAAAGCTTAAACACTAGATACATTTTACATCCCAAAGCAAGGATTACGAACAATTCTGTTTATAACTGGGGCAATACTTGAAAAGAAACATTGCTCCTCCCACCAACTCATCACCTCTTACTAAACCCCCGCAGTGGTTAGGTTTCTCACTGATTTCTTTATATGTAAACCACCCAAAAACCATATAAGTATACCTTATAAGTACTTATGACAGTATTTCATTAGTTGCTTGGTCCATTCAGCTAATAAATACAATGTGCAAGTTTAAAATAGCCTCTGAACATCTTGTTTTATTTTTACCTTATATCACCATCACGTGTTTCTTCCAATTTATTTTTCTTTTCCTTTTCTGCTTTCTCTTCATTATTCATTTCTTTTGAGTCAGATGCAACATGTGCATCTGATAAAAGATCATCAGTTTTTGTCAGCTATAAAAAAAATTGAAATAATGAAACAAAAAGCTGTAACACATACTAAGTGGTAGATAAGAAATACAGTATCAGGAAACAGTTTTATTAACAGACAAATTTTGCCATCATGTATACTTAGTAACTCAGAATTACATAACTTAAGAAATTTTTATCAATACCATTCAGGTTAATAGAGTTATCCTGAAACTTATACCAGAGCCAATGGGCAGGGCTCGGCTTAATAACTTCCAGAACTTATCTGAACTCTTTGGATTGCAGCCTGCTTGTTTTTTCATGCTATCCCTCTCTTCACAATGCCAACTGAGACTCCAGCTATTGGAATATACCGCTGATGAGCCTGAATGCTGCTCTTAAAGGTCTGATTAGATATAACTAATATAAGTGTATTACGTAATTTTCCTTTAAAAGATTTGCATACTTAACAAAGCAACAGACTCTCAATAGAAAGTGTTTTTAAAGAATAACAACAAATGTTAATTATTTGATTCTATACCATTCCCCATCAGACATATGTTTAAAAAAAGCTAAATATGAAATAGGAAAACAAAAGGAAAAATGAGTGAGGAAAAGGAAAAGCAAAGGATGGTTAATAAAAGCATATGGAGAGAAAAGAAGAAAAAATTCCACACAAGATTTAAAAAAATATTAAACTATAAGCAGGATACGATTATGTAGAAACAATGGAGTAATTTGCTCTTCATAGTCAGTCTGCTTTTGCTGAATGTTCAGGGCACTTTAGTACCAGAAACACCAAGGTTACTCACTGCCAAGTAAGTTTGACACTATTTCAAGACAGAAATCAATCCAGTGACCAAACAGCAGAAACTACAGTTACTGCCTACTTCCATGTATAAATTTTTGTGTCAGCTTTATTCTGCTTCCCATAAACAATTCGATGTGCTAAGGCCAACCAAACAAAAAAGTCAGTGTATTAAATGACTGTCAAAAACTACACTGGGATATCCCAAGCAATGAACAGATCAATGATTGTTATTTAAAGATGCATTAGTATTGGTTTTGTTTCCAAAGAAGTAAAGACCATAATTTTGTAGTTTTCCAATCAATCAGGATAGCAACAGATAAAGTAAAATGAAATTTAGGAAGACCACATACAAGAAAATTCAAGATCTCAGCTAGAGAAAGATCTGACACAATTTTGCGCTTCTCTATAGAATATTTATTATATAAAAAAAAAAAATCTTAATCTTTCAAGCAAAAGGAACTGTCTCTATTTCCCATAATTGTCTGTGGCTCAAAATATTTTTCTACTGCAAGACAAGCTGACGAACAGTTCATTAAAGGGCAGTTTCGTACCTCTTTATTAAAACCTGAATTATGTTCTTGTTCTCCATCATGTTTTAGTTGCGTTACTTCTTCTCCGGGACTTTCATTACTTAGTTTCAAATTATTTTCTCTACTGGTGCTCTCTAATTCCTTCATGTTATTAGATGCAGTATCATCCTTTTTTCGATTCTATGGAGCAAAATTGGTATACAGACGGTCTCAGTTATGAGGCGTGCACTGTCCTCTGATTGTGATTAAAAAATACTTAAAAAACCTTAAGCATACCACACTGCAATAAGGAAAATGGAAATTGTTAAGGACTTTGAATTTTCTCATTTTTGTACCTTTCAAAACAGTTCAGCCTAATAATTTTTTCATTATTCACTGTATGTTCTGCCCCCTTCCCCTTCACCCCCAAATCTCCAGCATTTCTATTAATCACATTTACCTTCTGAAATTCCATTCAGAGTTAGCTCAGTCACACACAGGTTTAGTAGCATTCGTATTTTCATTCATAAGCACTGATTTTTTAAAAAATAGCCTTTTCTGGTTAAAAAAAATATGTCTAAAAATCTGCTCTCAGTACAAAAATTCACCGTGCGCCTATGTGTGCCTTCTCCAATTATTCTGGGTATCTTCCAGGCCTGTGCTGTTAACTCATTTAACAGAGGACAACATCGCATCTGATAGTGGCAGAGGATATTACTTATTCCTTAAAAAAAAATAAATCCATTGCACAGAGAATAATTTGATATGGTAGAGGTGATTTGACACTGAACTGCGAACATTATGTTGGCAGACTAGCAAACCAAACTGAAGTAAGGTTCATGTAAGTCTTATCAAACTCAGTACTAGGGCTGAGAAAAATAGGAGCCATGAAAGCAGTAAATCTTGTGGCTGAATTCTTGTGATTTAGCATATGCACTCTGTAAAGAGGAAATTCTATGTAAGTCAGTTCACAAATCAATCTCTTTACTTTCCTAAGTAAAGTATGCACCCATATCATATACTTGTCCCAAACAATAACAATTGTGAAGTAACTTCCTTTCGTATTTTGGTAATCACTTAAAAATTACACAGTAGGCTGTTTATAAAATCTTTTTTTTTCCTCCAATTCTTAAAAAAAACAACAAACTCCAGTTGAAAAGACTTCCAGCAGTTAATGCCATTGCACCATTTTTCTGTATAAAAATCAATAGGCATACAAACTATGCTTTTGAAAATAAGAGCTATTACTACAGTGTAATACCTCAGCTTGAGGCTTTTTGCCAAATAGCATTCTGGAAGAATTGAAGTTGTAATAGAAAAAGTGACATTTGTAGCATGGACTACTAGCTAAATATTTAATTCAGACACATTCTCCCTTATTCTATAAATTTCTTATTCTCATCCACGTAGCACTGATTTTGCACAGAAGACCGAAGAACATGCTGGTGTGAACAGAATTCTTCTGAGTTCCATACAGCAAGTAGTGCTGGCACAGAGGATCTGGCCATTTCCCCCACTCTGCTCCCAGCCTGCTGGCTAACCAGGTATGACACACACATGACTGCAGTTTCCTCACCCTGAGGGATGAAATGATACCGTAGGAAAGTGGTAAAGCTCAAACATCTCTGTAAAAACTACAAAAAGAAATACCTGCAAAGCTTCGCTTTGTGCATCCTCCTCTTGAGAAAGGCAGTGTGTTAATCACAAAAATATTTGTAAGAGTCCCCTTTATATATAACATTAATGATGTCATCCCAAATAAGGCAGTTTAGCATGCTCAGAGGGAAAAAAAACCCACCACAAGCTAAAACTTATTTGGAAAAATGTGACTTCTTAACAGTGCAATCATTTAATCTGGTCTTGGAAAAATCAGATGTTAAAATGTGTAGAAAACATAAAGGAAGGCATTTCCATGTCAATGTAAAAAAAAAAAATCAAACCCAGTGCGGTCTGGGTAAAAAAGTATGCCAGAAGATTAAAAAAAAAAAAAAAAAAAGATAACTCCCATAACCTACTGAAAAAGAAAACTAGTTCTTAGCAGTTAGAAAGTAGTAGGCTGTCATGCACTACCCTGAATCTATGTGATATTTTTGTTTGTTAGTTGGGTTTTGGGTTCAGGATATTATTTCGTGGTTAATATCTTCCTTCTCTCTCCCCACCCTTAACTATTTAACAAACTCACTTCTTTATCTTAACTGTTTAAGAATGAGTGAAAACAAAAGCGAAGGTTCTATTTTTATGTATTTATGGGCTCAGAAACCACAGCAAAAGAGCACCAGTTAAGACCTATCATCATAAATACACATTCCTACTTAATGTTATCGATGTCTGAGTATATTACATGGCAAAAAAATCTACATGATTTATACATCAACTGAATCATGATTCTCACTGACACTGCTTTTAGTCACAAAGCGTGCTATTTCATGTTGTTTTGACAAAAAAATCCCCTGTTAACAAACATCACAATGCATAATCAAACACATGTCGATATGAACTATTCATTTTCCAAAAAGACAAAGAAGTGACTTCTACTGTCATTAGGTGTAAGCATGAAGATTATCTTCTCCCTTGCTCTTGTATCTGGCAGAGAATTGTGACCGTTACTCTACACAAGCAATCTCAAATAGAGACCTATAGTATTGTAATTTTTGGAAAGAGAACAATTTAATAACTTTTTTATTTTAATTGGACACATTAAAGTTTTTGAATAACGTAGGACCCACCTGTGCCAATTTGAACGGATTATCTCTGACAAATGACAGAGTCTGTGAAGGAGACTGGTCTGAAACGCCAATAATATTGAGTCCTTTTCTCTTCTCTCTCAGGCAAGCTTGTTGGTGTCTCTTTATTCTTTCCATCTGTTCCTCCACAGTCATTCGAGGCCGTGTGCTTTCTGCAAGACACAGCTGCTCCACTGCACTTCTTGGTCTTTCCTTAAATGGAAAAATATCTATATATATTTTTTGTTTTAAAAAAGCAAGACTCTAAACTGTTGAGCTTATCAGAAAAGGACAACTAATGATTTACTGAAAAGCAGAAAAATATTGGGCAAGTAAAGATCTTCTATGTTTGTGAAGAAAGTACAAGAACCAATTCTTAATAAATGAACACTGAAATTCAAAATAAAAGGAAGGAATAGTTTGCTTTTTTGAACAGTGACATTACCACTGTCAATGATAAACAATGATAATCCTGTCAAGTTGAAACAATTTAGAGGTTATACAACAGGCAAACACAAGTTACTTGACTGAAACAGAAACATAACTGAAATTTAATGATCCAGGACATCTGTACCAGTTTATTGAATAGTGATTTTTGAATAGTGATTTCTGCCTTTTTAGTTCAAGAAAAACTACAGCTGAACATCATTTAACAGCAAGTGCAGCCTGAGACAAATTGAATTTATCACCACTTAAAAATCTGTAATTCTAAGCATTATTCCCAAAATCACAACAATCACTTTCCCTACTCTATTCTTGAAATTCACTGATTTACAGATAGATCTGTACTTTGTATGACAGAAAAAAAAAAATTACTTTGTGCTAATCAGCTGCATTCAGCACATTCACAGTAACTGATTTCATTTCTGAAAAGCAGTATTCTTTCTCCAGTCAACATCCTGTGAGTTTCTTTCTCCTCTCCCATTCCTCCTTACACTTCTCCTCTTCTATTCATGCTGTAACTACGGCAAAAGTTTTTCTTCCTTTTGCAAGAACTACATGTAAACTTCTATCTTCAACCCAGAGACTACAGGACTCTCTAATCTGAAATTCCAGGCTTATTATCCACATATTGCTTACTGTATCATTGGTTTCTGTCTGCTTTAGGTATTTCCCAAATCATTTCAGTAATTAACTAAATAAAAGCCAGCATTTGTTATACAGGGGCTGTTCAATTGCCCCAGAAGCCAAATACAAGTTCTTCAAAGTTTTAACCTAAGATGCTTCACATCCTTTCAATTCAAGTCTGAACTTCAGTAGCTTAGTAGATTTATCATTACCATTTAGTTCTTGCCTAGTTTGCGTGTCTCTATGCAGTTTAACATACATGACCTTTATAATTTTGTCATTCTTTCTACAATGGTCTCTGTTAACCTAGAATATTATATTTTTATAAGTGACTTTTTAATAAAGAAAATTAACAAGCTAACTATAACTTTTGAAGTCACCACAGAAATTAATCTTAGAAATGAACACATCACTATCCATCAATGCTTGAATGTTATTTTAAAGTACCATTCTTAGATCTATCTTCTTATTCTTCCTCAAAGTGACATAGGATGCTATTGTTGAAGACTCTGGTGTTGGTGATTTGGTTCTGGGTGGTACAACTCCCACAGGAAAATGTGAGCCTGTGAAACAGTAAAGCAATATACTAAGTGCTATGCAAAACATTGACAAAACAGTTTATTGTTTTCTAGAAAATACATGTTGTCAGCCTTGGAAAGTATTCTTTAAAAGACAGCAAAGGTCTTAATGCCTAAGTATCACATCTGTTATTGTATGCAGGCAGATGACTCTCCCCATGGGAAACTACTGTACATGGCACAAGAAATTGCTAGACATAAAAATACAAACAAAAATTTTGTCTGTGAGAAACAGATACAAGTTAGATAGCACGGTGTGGAATGGCTAGACTTCACAGATGATTAAGGGGGAATTATGGCCAAACTTCACCAGGCGTCAGCACTGGGAACTTTTTGTGGAATAGAGTTTGCAAGGCCAGCAGAGTGCCTAGGTAACTGTTTCAGTGCTACCACTTCAGGCCAAGCTTCCCTAGATAATGGTGTCAAAGATACAAAATTTAGCTAAAGTGAGACGAATGAACAAAAAGTAATTATGGGTGGATTGTTTATTTGGGAAGAAACAAAGGCTGCGAAAGGGATGGGGTGAGGTGGAAAGCACAGGCATGGAATAATGGAGAGAAGGGGGAATAAAAGAGGCCAGCTTTGCATAAACCAGCCATTTGTCAGTATGCTTGTCTGACCAAGCCCTGTGCCTTAGCATTGCAGTCTGTCCTATCTTCTTATTAAACTTTATTCTTAAGTATTTTCCATGTCAATATGCTTTCCCTTCTGCATATGAGAGTGTGAGAGATGCTAGTGGTCTTCAAGCCAGGCTAGCCTGCGAGTAGGAGACAGCTACAGGGAGATCATACATAGGTCTGGGGGTGAAAGACAGGAAAGACTGCTAGTCTGTGGGTCGGCTACCGGCGGGATCAGAAGTCTGGACCTGCTATCAGGGGGAACTTTTTGTCTGTGAGATGCTAACAAACTTAAGACCAGATGGCAAGCAGAATACAAGGTGTGGGAGCCAGCTGTCCAAGAGATCGTAGGTCCAGGATTCAGATACTGGAGAGGCCAGAGGTACTGTGAGTTGACTGATGGAGACACCATAGGTCTGGCCAGCTTTTGGAGGGACTCATTTGTGTGTGTGCACGCACATGTGCTCATGTCTGTATGTACGTGAGATCAGCTAGCAAGCTTCGAGCCTGGTTAGCTGGTGAGTGAGGACAGGATCATGCTGTTTGTGTTGTTTCACCTTCATGTGAGTGCTGGTCTTGTTTATGCCGTGCCTACAACAGCACTGGTCTCAAACCTGTTTGCATTACCTGTTGTGGTTAGCTGTGGCTGTGCTTGTGCACAGCGGGACTACGTCCTCAGCCTTGCAGCTCGCTGTACGCAGGGACAGCGAACCGCAGCAGCCAGGATCTGTCTGTTGGGAGCCGAGGATATTCTGTGTCCTGATGTCCATCACATTCAGCTTCTCATAACAATATCCACCACTATTTTTTTTACTTAGAGAAGCCTTGCCAAAATGTAATTAAGCTGGTAGAATACTGAAGTAAGTTAAAACTTACCAAAATATACAGATATAATTAAATAACATATGCTTATTTTTTGCTTCTTGATACATGCGAGAAGTCAAACTATTAAAAATATACTGATTTTGCCTAAAAATAAATATAATGTTTTCTTTGATAGCCAAATTATTTCTCCTGGTTTTTCCTGAAGTTTCACAGAGGGTATATTGATTTGGTGAAGGCTCAGCTCTTTCTCCAAATTGTTTGATAGGCTGACAAAATAGACTGGAGGTATTTGAATGCCAAATCCATCATTCAAAACAAAAACTATTAAGGCAACAGTTTGCGTCACCTTTAGATGTAAAAAGGATAAAACACAGAAGTCCATTTTCCTTTTGTGTCACCTTTATGTACCACTCAGGTCATAAATAGCTCTCTACTTGCAGACAGCTGTAAGGGTTACTTTACATAGTCCCATTAAAATGTTTCTCTTTGATTGCTGACATTTGAAAAGAGAAGGAAATGGCTGGCAGAAGAAACATGAGAAGTGTCTAGTACAGTCATGTGCACAATGAACTAGAAAAACATTTTCTAAATTTCCCCTGAAATGTACTAATTGTTAGAACCGCCCTCAATAGGAAACTATGTCATTTAATATGACTTCTTAAAATAGCAAGAAAGAAAAATTGCAGAGATGACCTGCCTTGGTTTCCTTTTCAGCTTATAAACTGTTAAGATAGAATGGCATAAAAATGTTTGTTGAAACAGCATATAGTTGTAATGGTATACACACAATAGAAAACAAACAGGAATGGTTATATTTTTCCTACTGCATGGGGATTGTTATTATCAGTGAATACATAGAACGAGAAATATCTGTTAGACAATTCACATCCTCAAAAGTATGGATCAGATAATAAAACACAGCTATGATAAATCTATTTCACACTGTTGTTTAAGACAAAAAGCCTCTTGATGCTGGCTACCACTGCAGTTATTCTCTCACCCAACCCTAAATATTATCAATATTAGATAAATTTGTATTATTGCTTTCCCTTACTGAGGACTGTTTTTCTACAAATGGATATAATAAAATTACTTCTGTCTTCACAGAAGAAGACAGAAAGCAAATTGGGTTGCTCAAAAAGTATTGGTTTGTTTTATATAATCCGTACAGGCTTTCCTACATTGTCTTGACAATTACCTTCCCTCTTCTCATAAATTACCATAAACAATCTGGAACACCACAGGACAACAAAATCTGGCTGTTGTCAGAAAGGTATCTTCCTCAATTTAGGTGGCTGATGATTAGCAAATCTCAGGCTAAACTTTTCACCAACAAGTTAAGAGATTTGCTATCTATCTTAAGTGAACATTATACCTCAACAAATACCATAGTGAATCTGAATCGACTAATTATCTAGTCAAGCTGAATCATATCATATATCACAGGGCCATCCACATTGTTTACACCCAGACGGTATGCTAACCTTAGTTTTAAAAACCTCCATTACTGTTCTGATGAAAATAATATCTTTACAGTATGCTAGCCTTAGTTTTAAAAACCTCCGTTACTGTTCTGATGAAAATAATATCTTTACATGATCATAGTTCTTGGTCAAATTCTGGTACTGTTGCACTAGCCTGCTAGGTACATGCTTAGTCAAACTACCATAACAGAAGGCAGTTATCTTGCTGGCACTGGAAACATCAACCGCTATGGTAAAAAAATGGATGTTTAGTTACTTTTTCTAGAAGCTCCTGCTTATGGTTTTTGGCAGGTGCTCAAACTGCTTTTCCTGAAGTCACCTTTAACAAACTATTCAGTATGTTTTAACAAACAGAACTGAGGAGCACTTCCTGGTAAAAGACTCCACCAAGCAATTAGTAGCTTTTATGGAAGCTAGATGAAGAGAAGAATCTAAAGCATTTAGCAATTGCAAAGACCTTTATTGTCTGTACACTCCAAGGTCATGATCATTATTCCTATTATATCAGAAGACAGAAGGCAATTCAACAATTACAAGATTAAAAAAAGAAAAAGACATTGTTTCCCTGCCTTATGAGAGCCTGAAAATTCTGTGGTGCTGCCTTTTTGGACGTTCCAGTGACATAACATCGGGAGCTTGATTCAAAAACTGAATAATTGTTCAAGGCTAAGAACATAAAATGGGTAATTGTTCAAGGGAATGGTGTGTGGGGAATGTGAGTGATGTGATTAGACATGGCGTCAATAAGGATTTCAGGGTTGTTGGTGAGCGTAATGTTTGATTTTTCTGTGGTGTAATTGACTGAAATCTTTCTCGTCATATAATTAAATCATTATTTTATCATGGAGGCTGTTTCATCATATTAAGAAATGGATAGGCTACAAAAATATGAAGGATGATATAGTTTCTACAACACTTTGTACTCCTTGTAAGCTATAAGGCTTTGTCTTCCTTGTGAAAAAGGCTGAAAGGTTGTAAAGATCATGTCTGGGAACAAACCTTTAGCTGCAGATTCTGATTCTGAAATTTGTTCTGTTTTTTCTTCACCATTAGACTCATCCACTTCTGCTACTGTAGTTAACTCTGGTTCACTCTTATAAAGCCTATAATCAGGACCCTGAGGAACGACAAGTTATGAGGTAAATAAACAGGCATTTTTGCACAAGCATTTATGTCTTAAGACTCAAAGCAATTATTTTGTGATGACTCTGCTCTCACTTTAAGACAATGCTTCATTGTTCAAGTGCTATTGCAGAAGTATTTCTTTGCAGTTAATTTGAGTAACAACATTTGCAGACTTCCAGAAATTAGAGAAGAAAATTGCCATAAAAATGTAGTGGTTTTTTTTGTTTTTGTTTTCCTTTAAATGATCTTCAACAAATTCTTATAAAGCTTTGGCAAAAACTGATTGTGAGCCTAGAGTTTTTTAAGAACTTGTGAGAAGAAGAGTTTTATTTTCTGAAATTTACTCAGATGCAGGCATTTAAATCTTAAGACATTTTATATATGCACAAAATGTATGACAGGAAAACGTGAAGAGCAAATGATGGAGCTACAAAAAAAATAAAACCAAGTAGCCAAAAAGTGAAAACATGACACAAAAGTAGCCAGATGACAAAATAAAAATTGTGACTGTGCAAAGGAAGGGGGATGCTTCAAGAACAATGTGGCAGTTTAAGCCACTTACACAGTAAGATCCATTTCTCTGATATCCTTGAACTTGGTGAATCTTCTTTTCTTCTGGAAGATGTACTGGGCCCCTGCTATAACAGAGCAAGGAGCTGCTATCACTGGGCAGAGGGGGGATTATGGGAGGATGCTCTGTAAAGTCATAGGACCGAGGGAGTGGAGGACGAGGTGGGACTACTTCCTCTTCCTAAAGATTGTAGAATAGTCACCTTATTTAGATGTGCACATTTGTTGCAATTATTTATAACTTAAAAAGAAAAATATATTACCATAGCTACACCAGCTATAGATTTCAGAATTAAAGGGACAATGTCACACCAAAAAAGCTTTATTTGTCACACCAAGACAGCTTTATTTTCTTTGTGTTTCTTTGGGGTGGTTTTTTTTGTATTTTTGTTTGTTTTTTATTTTATTATTACCACCTAGACTGAGATACTTCAGTAGTCTCATTATTCAGCTTATCAAGATTTTTCAATTCTAACACCTGCATTTTCTGTTGGACATGTATGAACTCTCTAAATCATCCATTTAAAAATTAAATTCAATATATTTTTAAAAATTTCTATATAAATTTGAGTTTCAGAAACTTCTGTAAGCCAGATGCATATTGCATAAACTTCAGACAACCATTACAATGTCCCTTTAAAACTGTAACTTCTAGCCAGATTTTCAGAGGAACTGAACATTTGGGAGCTCCCACAGTTTCAGCTGTTCTTGTGGGTGCTCTGGCCATCTGAGAACCAGGCTCAATATGTGAAAAGACATAAAAAGCAACGTATTTCTTCCCATGAAAAGTGTGGTGGGTAGAAAGCAAATCCATAAATCAGGGTTTATATTTCTACGGTAAGAGCCTAGGGAAAGGAAAAGGTAAGAAATGGAAAAGAGAAACATACCAGTGAGAATATAAAGACACAGAACAAATGAAAGTGTTAGAATTACTAGTGGAGATATCCATCTTTAAAATTAATTCATAATGCAATGTTTTCACAGAAACACACCGAATATATACCTAAGATATCCTTAAAACAATTATAAGAATGCTTATTTTTATAGTATGTATATCAGAAATTCAGTGATGCTAAAATGGTAAATATACTAACACCATACCTCATTTTTATATTTAATAGCTGAAAATGTCCTTGATCCCATGATGGCTGTTTGTCAGGATGGGGAAATGCAGAGAAAGAAAGAGAAAAATTGTTTACAATAAATAGCTTTTAAAAGATAAACTATAACCTGTTGCTATCAAACAAATACACAAAGCATCAACTTAAAATAGACGATTGCTTTCTTTTCTCAGCAATTGCACCATTTTTTCAGACACACAAAAGCAACTATGGAGCTTATCCTTTAAAAATGTCTGTGATCCCATCTCACTTCCTATGAGATAAAAGCAATCAGTTTACCTGCCTCTGAAGAGCTTCTTTGCTGTTTATGTTTACTTAAACCCTCCATGACATCTTGAATTCTCCACAGTTCCTTTTGAATCTGAGCACGCTGTATCCCTGCTGACTCAGTCTGCCAGTAAATAAACAGCATATATAGGCGATAAATTAGAATACATTGCAAGCAGAAAAAAACCAGAAAACCTTTTTCTTTCTTTAGGCTACACTGCATGTCTTTTCCCAATGAAGGAAAATAACATGCAGTAATGACAAACACTCTCCCATAAAAACACAACATTCAAATGTTGTCAGAAACAAAAAATATAAGATTAAGTAATTTCATAATGTGTCAGTTAATTTGACAGCAATTTGCTAGTTCAAACTCCACTTAAGAATAGAATTGTATCTACTGTCTCCAAAGAAAATCCAAGCAAACTTTGCACAGGAGACCTACATACCACAAAAGAAAAGGAATCATCAGCTCCAACCCCAAAAACAGGTGGAGATGAACACGGTGTTTGCATACTAGCGTATAAACTGTGAGCCTATTTGCATTCATGGTCATGCATGCTTTGGACTTCATAACACAAATTTCTCAGCTCTTGGGCTTCCTTGTAATCTCCCTTTCATAGCTGCATAGAAAATCCATCCCTGGAGCAAACAGCCTTCAATGCCTCCCAGCATGGACCACACCCATCTGCCTATTCCAGATAATGTATGCATGTGTGCCTGTGAGTCACACAGGCAGATCTCTACAAATTCAGAACTTACACTCATGGTCCCATCCTCCACGGCACAGCACAGTGCACTAATAAGATACATGTCAGAACTCTTCATATGTTAGACATGAAGCAATGCTTAGAATATTTTTTTAATTATAATTTATTTCGATAGAATGAGTTCATTACATTTTAGAACATTCAGTTAAATGGAAGGATTTGTGTGAAGATTTACTGTGACTGTCAGAGCAATTAAGGTCTGAGAAAACTGCCCCGTTTTGGACACAATGACTGAAACAGAAAGAGAAGGCTTCCAGACACAGGAAAACCCAGTGCTGTAGCTTCAAAAAAACAGGAAAACCTGAAGACCTCCTCAGAACTTACAAACATTTAAATTTTTTTTATACTTTGTGTATTGGGTTTGTGCAGCCAGGTTTTGGTAGCGGGGGGGCTACAGCGCTGGCTTCTGTGAGAAGCTGCTAGAAGCTTCCCCTGTGTCTGAGAGAGCCAGTCCCAGTCGGCTACAAGTCAACACGGCCCCCCCCCGGGCGGGCCCAAAGAGGCCCCTGCCGCTGGCCAAGGCCGAGCCCATCAGCAACGGGAGTAGTGCCTCTGGGATAACATGTTTAAGAAGGGGAAAAAAACTTCTGCAAAAACAGCAGAGAAGAGAGGAGTGAGAATATGTGAGAGAAACAGCCCTGCAGACACCAAGGTCAGTGAATAAGGAGGGGGAGGAGGTTGTCCAGATGCCAGAGCAGAGGTTCCCCTGCAGCCCGTGGTGCAGACCCTGGTGAGGCAGCTGTGCCCCTGCAGCCCATGGAGGGTAACGGGGGAGCAGGGATACACCTGCAGCCCAGGGAGGACCCCACACTGGAGCAGGTGGATGTGCCCAAAGGAGTCTGTGACCCTGTGGGAAGCCCACGCTGCAACAGGCTCCCGGCAGGACCTGTGACCTTGTGGAGAGAGGAGCCCAGCCTGGAGCAGATTTGCTGACAGGACTTGTGATCCCATGGGGGACCCACGCTGGAGCAGTCTCTGTCTGAAGGACTGCACCTGTGGAAGGGACCCACGCTGGAGCAGTTAATGAAGAACTGCAGGCTGTGGGAAAGGCCCATGTTGGATAAATTCATGGAGCACTGTCTCCTGCGGGAGGGACCCCAGGATGGAGCAGGGGAAGGGTGTGAGCAGTCCTCCCCTGAGGAGGAAGGAGCAGCAGAGACAACATGCGATGAACTGACGGCAACCCCCATTCCCCATCCCCCTGTGCTGCTGGAGGCGAGGAGGTAGAGAATGTGGAACCAAGTTGAGCCTGGGAAGAAGGGAGGGGTGGGGGGAAGGTGTTTTAAGATTTAGTTTTTATTTTCTCATTACCCTACTCTGATTTGGTTGGACATAAATAAAATTTTATCTAAGTTGAGTCTGTTTTGCCCATGACAGTAATTAGTGAGTGATCTCTCCCTGTCCTTATCTTGACCCACGAGCCTTTTGTTATATTTTATCTCCCCTTTCTACCTGAGGAAGGGAGTGATAGAGTGGCTTTGGTGGGTACCTGGCTTCCAGCCAGGGTCCACTCACAACAATGCTAATGCACCGCATGTCCCCCTTTTTTCATTTTTGGTAGTTTTTAAACAAAATCATAGAAAATGAAAGTGACTTAAATGTACTTTAAGACCTATGCCACACCTGAATTTCTCCAAGCCGATCGAGTTGCTCCTGCATATGGTTCCTTGTTACAGTTACATCATACTCCAATTTATCATATTCTCTCCAAGCTCTTTCCAGTTCCTAAGTACATAACAAAAGAATTACAAATGCACATTCAAGTGAAAGAAAAAAGTGTACTTATTTTTCTTTATTCAATGGCATGAAACTTCAGGAAGTAATGCATAAATAGATAACAGCAATAAATAAATATGTATTTTAGAGAATGCAATGTTTAATCAGCTTTTTGATTTTCTAATGATACTGAATGGAATTCAGACAAACAGTATTTTGTCTTTTCACAAACAAAAAAGATAGGCAAGGGCAAAATCTTCAGAATATGGCTTTATAGACAGCAGGCATGTGGGTCTTAAGCTGTCCTTTCACTGAGGCAGAAAACACAGAAAAATGGATGCAAATTTGTCTCTTTTATCACATAGAATACATATGTGTGACTGCACAGCATGTGTGCGTATATGCAATGTATTATGCAAGACAAATGTAACTCATCCAGCCCTGCCTGTAAGGTTACCAGTGAACGCCTCAGGTCTGCTAATGCACCATTATTTTATGTATGCGAAACTAAAAACACCAGAAGGGAGAAGGTGCAAAAAGAAGATCTTATTTTAGTTCAGCTCTGCCATCTCACTTTTTAAGCCTACATCAAGCAATTTACTCAATTTAGCATAAATTAAAAAGTTAATGAGGGAAAGTGTATCTTGAGGATTTCCTTTCCCCCAATTCCTTTCCTTGTCCAACCAATGCCTTTTACAAAATAGTCTAATGTTCAGACTAAAACCTGTATTTCATAGCCTACTTTGTATCAGTTACACCACAGCAAACCACTGGAATTTGACAATGAAATACCTTTTTGGATATATATAGAAGTAGGTAAAAATTATTCTTTACCTTGTCATTTCAGTGTAGAAACCATAATGAAGTGGAAAAGGACAGTAAAATAGCAACTTCCTTCCTTTCCTTTTTTTTTTTTTTTTTTTTTTTAAGGTTTTTGAAAGTACATAACTGGAAAGATCTTTTAAATATAATGGCCCACTATTAAGACAGACCATGACAGTACAATCTTTTCTTCTTTTCAGCCTGCAGCTGCTTTTGCTTAAAATATGTCACCTCTGATTTAATATCTGATAAAGCTTGTGCTTGCTACTATTTTGCCATCACAAAAAATAGCTTATTTGCATTATTTACTTCTTCTGTAATCAATTTTGCATATTATAAAGATGAAAATTATCACACCAATTAAAGTCAGTATGCACTTTTCTGGACAAAAAAAAATGAAAAACTTGAGAAAGACTACTTGATGAATATAGTGAAAAGATCACTTTGCCTTTGACGAAAACACAAGCAAATAAAAGACAACCGAGTTTTGCTGGAACATTATGAAAAATAACCAAAGACAACCCAATTAAGAATATGAACACGAAGATAATAGTTTAACACTTTGTTGAGTTTTTACTGGCAAGAACGTATTACTTACTGCAGTAGCTCGTGATACTTCTCGACAAGTGCTAAGTAGTCCATTCTGCAAGTCGTCTCTCTGTAAGACTACATTTTGTATGGCTGCAGGATTATCTGCATTCATTTCTATCTCCTGACTTGCTGATAGCAAAGCTTGCTCAAGCGTGTACTATTATAATAAAAAGAATTATTTTTAATGTTCTGCATCATTGGGCTGATTTTCATTTTATTTCAGTTACCAATGTTCTGATAATAAGCATGTAAAATAACATCCACTTTAGGTAATAAATACAATTGTCCTACTTTCTCCTTGTGTAGCTGTTGAAGCTTCTCTTCCAGTGCTTGTACAACTTTATCTTGTTCGCATAAACGGCTAAGCTTAGCCTAGTATGCAACAGAAAATGATCACAATTAGGATTTAATTTTTAATATCGTCAGCAATCAAAGTATAACTTGATCAAATAATTACAAGAATCTATATAAAATAGTATTATCACAAAATAGAATTCTAAAACTCTTGAAGGCATCAGTGTTGTATTTTCAAATCAACCTTAAGAAACCCTCTTAAGATACTATGAAATAAGTGTTATTATAACTTGAAACAGTGTGGCTCAAAACATGTAATTTATGATTCTATAGATAAATCTTTCCAACTAAATAATAGGTATTAAATACCATTTTAATATACACATTCCTCAGTATTATAAAGAATACTGCATACATTCAGTCTTTCCCATTGTTTATTTCAGGTTTTTAATCGTTAGTTACTAATACTATCCATGTTATGCTGTTTTACCTCTGATCAAGGCTTAGCTATGACTAGAACTGTTCCACTCCAGCTCAAGTTTGAGCAAATAACTGTTCAGTGCACTGTAACCTAGTGAACCAGTTTAGTTTCCTATTTGAACAACTATTTTGGTATATTTTGTGCTGCTCTGACTCTTTAAGAAAACACTCTAAGCCTCCCTCTCTCTTAAATCTCTTAAATCAGTATCTCTACTCTCAGTTGCATTGTGCAAGAATGACTAGATATGCATATGTATGCATATACAGTATGACTATATCTGTATTTTTCACCACAAATTTTAAACCTGACTTTAAACACCAAGGCCCTTTTCTTTAGTAACTAGCAACCCAATCCTCTGAATGGTGCCAAATTTCAGTTTTGGCATATCATTCGTATTTCCTGAGAAATGACATCTCTCGTACTTACAACTGAACTACAGCTACAGAGTTTTTCCCTTATAAAGTAATTATAGAATCATAGAATCACAGAATGTTTTGGGTTGGAAAGGACCTTAAAGATCATCTAGTTCCAACCCCCCTGCCATGGGCAGGGACACCCTCCACTAGTCCAGGTTGCTCAAAGCCTCATCCAGCCTGGCCTTGAACACCTCCAGGGATGGGGCATCCACAGCTTCCCTGGACAACCTGTTCCAGTGTCTCAATTAATTAATAATAATAATAAAAATAATAAGAAAATAATTCCTTTCTAGAAGCCATCACCTTTGAACAGATAGATTACTTGAAATTTCAGCCTAAAATGTAATACTTCAAGTTAGAAGCTTGTTTAAAAAAGAATCTTATGCCCCTCAATTTCACAAAGCAACTGCTGTTGATAATCACCTACGTGAACTGTGTTTCAAGCCCAAAAGTCAAGGGGGAAATTATTATCAAAATAAAGAGACAAATACCAACATTTCCAAGGAAGAAGAAATGCAAACAACTTACATCAATATCCAGCTCTTCAGTTCTATATTTGTATAGTGTACCCCTACATTCTTCTTGTGTTAACTATAAGGAAGAATAATATTGCCATAAAACAACTTAATTGGACTATGAAAATGAAACTATTGTTCATCTTAAGAGTTTTAATACAGAAAACAGCTTTTGCTTGAAAGTCAAACATACCACATTGAACAATGTATTTTTATCCAATATATATTAATGAAGGTAAGTTAATGGAATGTCAAGCAGACTGTCAGTAGAAAGTTGCATTAACTTAACAGGCTCGGTTTCTAATGCAAACTGGATTTTTAAAGATGTACAACTAACTCAATCAAACATGGATTATGTAGGAAGATGAAATTGCCAGAGTACACCTAGACATAGTTATGCATCATTATGTACATTTTCTTATGTGGATTCTAAATACAGGGACTAATTCTACTTGGAATTAACCATCCTAGGCCCACTAAAGTCAAGAGTATTTACAAGGAGAATATTCTGATGCAAATCTGAAATCAACGGAATGAACTAAATATACAAAATATGTGTAAAATATCTCATTACAGACATATACCCAATAAATGCCGCCAGAAATGCCACGAATGGAAGCCCTTCTATTTTATCTTTGGACCTAGGCAAACTTGTCTCCTCATGCCAGTCAGCATGTAAGGTATCCTCAAACTATTTCCAGACAGTTCCTCACATTAAGTTCTTAACTTTTTCAGCCTCTTAACTGACCCGTAACAAGATTTTAAAATATTTTACATGAAAAAGGTATCTCCCTATTTTACAATGGACCGTCACATACAGTTACTACTCCATGTCCTATACATCAAGTATTGGCATAACACTATCAACCTTCATATTCTATTTAATTAAAAACATGTGTGCATCGAGTCCCAACACAGATGATTTCCTTTCATCTATCTGTCATAATTAGGTCATCATGATTTAATAGTGCAAGAAAGACTATAAAAACACGAGGCCATGTTAAATATAAATAAAAGGACTAGGGAAGGGTTAATCAGACAAGCATTCCAAACATACAATAAATCTTCAACACACTTAAGTGTTTCATTTCAAGACGTTATGTCCACATACCTCATGCAAATGCACCTGGTGACAATTTAAAAGTATGTATAGTGTATTAAAACCACACAGTAACTTTCTTTGAAATGGACATTTTGTGAGAATGAGTGTTGGAATATGAAAAAAGCCACAGCACTTTTGCACCTCATGAATGTCACAAAAATTATGACACCTATTTCAACTCCTACTATTGTAGAGTTGTGGTTTTTTAACTGTTGATTTTATCACAATGAGAGAAAAATGAGAAATGGAAATATTTAAAAAAACCTCATAAACATGGCCAAATGTCTTTAACTTACAGAGAAAACCTAGCTATATTTCACAACAGAAAGATCTTACAAAGAAAGATTATTCCCTATTAGATAAATATATCTTACCAAGACACCGCTCAGGATTTTGTATGGCTTGCCTGGAAAAATGTAATGTTATTTTTCCAAGCCAGTACTTTTACACTTTTTAATTTTTTTAAAACGAGAGACATTTATTTTTTTGGCATTTCAGCCTTGATTATAGCCAACTTTAAAACAGCTTGCCAATTCAGCATCCTTATCCCTGCCTACCTCCTAAAAGGAATATATATTAAGTATTCAGAATACAAAAATACATTCTCAAAGAATACTATACATGCACTAATTCTTCTTATTTAAATCCTATCACACTTTTAAAGTTGCTGCCAACTTCTTGCTTTTGTCAGCAGCACTAGTTTCCCACAATAGGCACTGCTGGAGAGCCACTTCAGCATTTCTCCTGCAACATTTTACTTAGACTTAATGCAAGAACTCTAAAAATAGTATGAAACACTTAATCCATCTCTGAAAAAACAGCACCTCCTCTTTCCACAGCACATCTATAAATCAGCTTAAAGCAAAAAGTGCAGAATGCTATTGCATCCTACTGGAATCATGAGAGGAACTGAAGGATACAAAATGCAATTACATATTACAAGCAAGGTTAACCACCTCCTAACCCTGGAAAATGCATTATAAGAGCTGCAACGATCAAGTTATCAAAATGTATTTTATGTCACGTTCAACAAATGTGCCTCTCACCAAATCCTTCCTACAATACTTTAGGACAGTAATTTCAGCGAAAGAGTGCCAAAAAACTGACATGACTAGCTGCTGACTGCTACACTTTTCCTCGACATTTGCCTACTCAAATACTAAAAAGTCCATTCCTCTTAACATGGTGAAATACACTGCACAGCTCCCAAACATTATGGAGCATCACCTTGACTACCTAAAAATAGAACTTATCATTTTTGAAAGGCAAACTGCACACACAGAGTCTGGCCAAACATGTATCTTACATGTGACAAGGTGAGGTGACCTTAATTGAACCTCCATCTTAGGTTACAAACAATTTGTCATCTACTTTACAGTCCCACTGTACAGTCCCCATCTCTGTCCAATGCCAGTAGCAAAGAAATAACAGAAGTAGATAAATCCACCACAATGGACACAATATAATATGTCCTTAGAGGGAAATTTCTTTCCAAATAAATGCAGATTAGGCTAATCTCTCCTGAGACATGAAGGGTTAAACGTATTTAAGCAATCAATATTAAAAAAACAAAACAAAACATTTAAGTGACAATATTATTTCATTCCCTTATAAGGTATTTTCAGATTCCGCTAACCATTCTGATTTTCTGATTCAGTAAATATATGGCAGGAAATTTCACACCCAGAGAGAACAAAAAGCATCTCTGATACAGTTTGGAAATATGGGCTTTTTATCTCAAATACAATAATCTCGTGTGTTCATAACAAAACCTGAAAAATATTTCTACCCACAAACCTCAAAATCTAACATACATAACAGTTTAAAGGTACGCAGCTGCAATAATAACAACAATAATAATAACAATAGTAGTAGTAGTAGTAGTAATAGTATGCCAGGGTCAAGATCTCCCTATAATTATAGGACAAAAAAAATCAAGGCATATTTATACAATTGTATTGTATTAAGAACAATTACCTAAGCAAAGACCTGGATGTTAGCTTGTTGGACTCAGATTTTTAATTTCCACTTAAGAGGAACTGAGGATAATTCTACATTTTAAAAATCAGTATATTCTGCTTTAGAAAACAAGATTAGCACACCTCACCTAGTATTAGAGAGAAACAAAAAAAACTAAGGTAGAAATTGGGGCCAGGCTCTAAAAATTTTTCTTGTCTGTGCGTATAGAAGCACTACTTTGGCTTACACTTGTAAATTCACAGTACAGTCTGTAGAGCAGACTGATGTAAGTCAAAGTAGTTTAAATGACTGTGAAGATGTAACAAATCACAACCAAAATGTCTTATAAATAACACATTTGAAATAATACATATTTTATCTATTTTACTAAAGAACCGTTAATCATTACAAACAAACAGGAAACAAGACACCTTAATTTTTAATCAAAGACAAGCTTTTCTTGTTTTCCTTTGCTTAACTTTAAATTAGTTCAGTCATAACACTGAACTGAATAAACGGAAGCAAAGAAAGATCCTTTTCTCTACCTGCAGGAATAGTTACGGTCATCAGAAATTAGTTTATCATCTTGACAACAAAACAAATTTCAGTTGCTCACACAGAGGCTTCTCCCAATTGTTTACGTTTCTTTAAAACTGCAGAGGGAGAAAAGGACTGGTAAAACCAATTTCTTTATTTGAATGAAAAATTATACGTTGTTTAATCTTTAAATAAGTTGCCAGAATTTTAAACAGGTTACTTTTGCATTAAAATTATTTAGAAGACTATTTAGACAGTGAAATTTTAAGTGTATTTTTATCCTTTCCTGGAAGTCAGGTAATGCAGTATTTTGTATAAGAAACTTAATCCATGAATGCAGAAGGTCTTGCTATTCTCCAGTTTATGCAATACATGGGTTCTTCTGCTCAAGCCTGCCAACATATCACAAACACTCTGGCCTGAAGAGACTGCATCTCTAGTGACAAAATGTTATGCAGTCTTCATGACCTGTTAGATTCACTGTTTCTTTGACAAGAATTCAAAAAAGATCCTTCTTCAGTGTCAAATTTGAAGCAGCAGGTATGTCTACAAGGTGAAGGCAGTGCTGTGTAGCAATACCTTAGCTGACAGCATAGCTTCATTAAGATGGCATTCTGAAATTTCTTGGTATCCCTACATTATCGGGCTGACTAGCCCAGGCACAGCTATACCTCAAATGTGTCTATGTTAATACTAGAAGCTAAGCTAGGTTACTCTGTTCATTATATCTATGTTGACTTATTAGTCTTACATGCTCTATATTACAGAAAATTTATTTGTTTTTAAAAAAGTCATAACAGCTAGGCTTCTTAAAAAACAAACAAACAAACCAACCCCAACAAAACCCAGTTTCATTTAGGGGTCACGACACTTTGCTTCTCCCATTCCTCTCCCAAATAGTTCCTTCAGATTCCATGTTAAAGCTCCTCTTTGGCACACAGGACCACAAATTGGATGATCCTGAAATCAAAGTCACTCACAACCCAACTTCCTTTGGAAAGCTGAGATTTTTCTTGCAACTTTTCTGGATCATAAGCAAATCTACAATGTGGGGTTAACATGAAAATGTCAATGTGGAGAAACATGAAATTAAGCTGCAGCATTTTTTAGAAACATGGCAAAGTATTAATCACTAATAAATGACTGGTTTACATGGCAGAGCATCTCCTTTTCTTCAAACCATGCAAACTTTATATGTGATTTTGGCACACAAGGGCATAAATGCAAGTACAAAGGAACCGGTCAGACGTTCCCTTCTGACTGGCAGCCAGAATTGCACACCTCATCTGCTGCAAAATGCCATAGTCGTTTAAGAAGAACAACATCTTTGTTGCAGCTGAGGCTAGAAGCTTCTTAAACATTCCCTGCTGTGACAGGAGCTATTCAGGTAAGCCCCAGTATCCCTAAGACACTGCAGTGCCAAATGATCTGTATTGGCCATGCTCATAAGTTAATGCAGGTCTCAACTCACAGACAATATTTCCATTCACATTTCTGATTCTTCCTCCATCTTACCATTTACAACCATCACTAGACACTCTGTAAGTGTGGACGGTTAAGTCTGCTGTGACTTTATGAACAGACACTGCCTTTTGGATTTACAGTCCCCAGATCAAAGTAATTTTGATCCTTCCTTTCTTCAGTGGCTAAAGGCTTGGTAGGTGCAAACAAAAACTTGTAAATCCACTTCCTAGAACAAAACAAAATTGCCAGAAATGACCAGGTAAACACCACTCACATGCTTTTGTAGTGGTCAAAAGAAAGAAGCACCTTTGAACACTAATTGCAGAGAATCATGCTAAGACAAATGTTGGAAGCTTATTGGAAGTTTCATGAATTTACTGGACACCTGCATAAAACACCAACTAATTAAATCATCTAGACAGAAAAAGTTATTCAAAAGGATACATTTAATACTTAACAACAAAAATGCAGCAAAAGCCATGCTAACAATATTGCAGCATTTTATAAAGCATGGATGACTCGTGGTTTTCCAAAGCAAATAAGAGAAACACCAATGTTATGAATAAATCTGAGGAACAACCAAAACTGTCACTAAGGAAAATTTTCGCAGATGATAAAGCAATTTCATTCACTATCCAAGACCTTACTTGCTGGTACAGTTGCGGTCTTAGCGCCGAGTTCTCAATCATAGTGTGAACCATGGTGATTAAAGGTTCATTCTCTTTCATCTATTTCAAATCAGGAGGAGCATACAGCAAACATCAGTTTACAGCATGGCTAGATTTGAAAGACGACACTGTAAAATATAGCCTCTACTTTAATTTTTTTCTAATAATGCAGTAGATTACATTTTATCCCATGCTTTTTATATATTCCATCATTCAGTAATATTAACAACTGAAAAATTTAATAATATCAAATGTAGCAAAACTACATAAATGCTCAAAACCAATGTAATATTTATTCACCAACGCTCTCCCTTTTTTAAAATAAAAATGCTTAAAATAAAACCAGCTTTGCACAATATTGAAATGAAAAGTATTATCGGATTATGCAATAGGAACACTCAAACCTTTATCAGAAAATCTTTTGAATTATAGATTTAGTAATTCAATGTACATTAAAAAGATATAAGCATTCCTGGCCTCTGAATATTGAGGCAAGGTTTAGACTTACGTTCACGTATCAGAAAATGCCTTTATATACTGTACCAATTTATATACTTAGGAATATACTTTGAATCATTACTCATTCTATTTATCCACCCCCATACAAGGCTGTGAAACTATTTCATAACTGGTCATTTTCTACAATGATTAGTATTTACTGAAATGTGTACAAATGTCAAAACCAGATACTTTGATCATTACAGTAAAAATAGCATACTTTTAGAATTTCAGAAGAGTATGCAAGACAGACAATAGTATGGTTTTCAAAAGGAGACTTCCCTAACAGTAAGGGAAAAATTATGAAAACAGATAGCTTTCCTCTCCAAAAGAAACTGAAAAGTCACTTAATGCAAAATTTTTGTTGGAAACATTAGGACCTCTTCAGCAATGCCTGTTTCAAGTATGGTTACACAGGAAGGAAGTGTGTTTAAGAATATTTATGATCTTTCACTCTGTCTTTATGTGCATATATATGCACTCATCATGAATTTGCATGGCAAGGTTTTGTTTCACAGACTGAAATGCAACAGAAAGCCTGAATTTTTCATGCCTTTTGGAAATTCTTTCCCCTAATTATTTAGAAAAAAAAAAAAATCTGACTTGTACATTTGGAGATGTACTATTTTTTCTCATGCGAAACACATTTTTCTTGTTATATATAGAGGATGACTTTTTGTTGTTGTTGTTGTTTTTTTATATATAGTAAAGTCTGATCAGCTGATGAGTTAATCACCCCCTAAAGTGTACCTTAAGAAGGCAAAATTATGATGCTCTGTTTGTTCAAGGCAGGAAAAAAAAACAACCAAGCAACCCCTCCCATTTGCTCCATCATCGACAGTATACATAAAGAGAAAACTAGAACTGAGACAAGAAGTTGTTCTCCCTTTACATCAAAGTTTTATCCAGAGGGTGGGTGCATACCAAAAGATATCTCAATACTAAGATCAACAATAAGGTCCAAAGCCAAGCAATCAAACTACAACCAAATGAAATACCTGTAAAGGAAAAATTGCTCTGAGGCTTAAGTATTTTATTAGGAGTATACTGGTTTGGATGCATTTTTATTAAGGGGATTCCAACAGCTTCAGGCTCTTTGGCTAATTATATTTTGACAATATTTCAAATTTTTGCTTTTTGACCAATAACAGACAACGCCAGAATTAATTTCTGTGGGACTGTTCAAAGATTGTTTTCATTCAGATTAGAAAAGAAGCAAAGTAGCTTTGCTCAAAAGATGTTCTGAAATAACGTTTTGTCCTCAAGCCAGCTCCATCTTTGATTTATAAGACTTCTTACAATATTTTTACTACCATTGGTGCTTAACTGTGCTTATCTAACACTGTTTGCAAAGGCCAGTTATTTCCAGAAAAACTCCAGTTCCTTTAGTCCTTATGGAACAAAGATAAAAAACCAGATAATTGGTAAAGTAATGCCAACCAAGGAGTCTTTGTAGCAGTCAAACAGAGCAAGCTTTTTTCCCCTTTAAGAAATAACACCCAAGGCACTGCGTACTGAAGAACTGGCAAAGTACACCAGAGCAAGTCCCATGCTCTAAAAGGGGGTACCTATTTTGTGTTCTTAAAGCATCATCATGAGGCTACTCCCAAACTGAAGCTGGACACTATTCACAGTGAATAAATAGCTCAAGGAAAAATATTTGCTTGTTCATAACAGATATAAGCCTTGATTTTCTCACTTCCGAAAAAAATATTATTTTGTAAAGGACACCTTTTAGATACTATGTATAATACGAATAGTATTGCACTTATACAATCTCTCCAATTAAAGAAGTTACAAAAATCAGAATTAAGACTTTCATAAGCAAACTTAAGTGTGAACTGCCTGATGCCACACAGCAACACAGCAGTAAAACCAAATAAAATCCAGCAGTCTTGGCTTTGTCACTTTCTACTGCTAGTAAGTAACTCCTTCTCCCCAGAAGTGATGCTGCATCTTTGCTTTTATCTTTACTGAGGTAATATATAAAAGCATTCTCCCATTGGAAAAAATGAAAAAAAACCTCCTTGACATATGATCTATATAAACAGCTACATTATTTATGAGCAAGCATCTGAGTGGCTATTTTGTGTTTTAAACTGTAAAGCCAAGCTACTGACAATTTTTATCCTCCTTTTCATTTTCTTCCATGTTGGCTAACACCCCATGCAGATGATATTCCAGCATGTGCTGTTCTGGTGGCAGCGATCAGCTGGAATAGAGACTCCCTACCAGGACACTTGACTTCACTGATGATGTAATACCATATGTTATGGGTGACAAAAACTGAGCTCAGGTTGGCAGCTTCATTCATTTCCTCTCAAGTTTCTTGAAGGTAAAAGCCCTGGCTTTTTTCCCACCTTTCCTCTGGTCTTTAATCTTCTGTCCAAAAAAAAGAAGGAAGAAGCACTTTTCCCGCCTGCTTTCTTTTTATAGCAATGCTGCCTCCAGCACAGTCTTTTTTTGACCCTAGAGAGTCCCTGTCTTTTAGCCTCCTGTCTCCCTCTGGGGAGGGGAAAAGGAAAAAAAGCAGCAACAGAAAGAACAACAGTGGTGGCTGGGTCAGCTCAGTCTACACCTTTTCCAGAAAACCTGAAAAATACCAGTAAGGGTAGTATCCTATATGTTGCTAATATAGGCCATAGAATTTTAGGTTGAAACACATGATATCAGATATAATACAGGATATCTGTCAGCTCTATCCAAATCCCCTTGTACTATTCCAGCCTCCCTTAATTTGCTACCTTTTCCCAGAATGACCTTCAGCATCTCAGAAAGAGGGTGGTGAAGAGGAGAAAACAGAAGCAAAACACCAAGACAGCACGTATGTTGGCTGTGGGACCTTCACTCCTTTATTTGACAACTTCTTGTTCAAGTTCTGTTTATTTTTATGCACCCTTTGAAAACGGAAAGAAACTAAAAATGAAAGCACAAGCAGAAGTATGTGAACAACTTAATATCTAAACTATCCACATAAATAGCCATTTCAAAAAACAATTAAAAAAAAAAAGTAAATGAAATTAGTTGAGCTTCTACTGTGACAAACCAACCTGGGATATGCTGAGATTAATATGACAACATGCACGGAGAGTTTTACATAGAGAGCTTGAGCTCAGCAGAAAATGTTTTTCAGCCAAAGAAAAATTTTACCATCAACATAAAATCAAGATGCATACTAAAAGACTGGTTTGCTGGAATTCTCCGTAGTAACAGAAGGACACAAGTGGGACCTCCTGCTACGGCTTTATTTACAAATGAGGAAAAAAAAAAAAGGGTGTCTAGCTTTTATTTGAAAAAAAAAAAAAAAAGTGTTCCAACTTTTCATTACTGTTATTGTAACTACTCAGTACAAATATATTAAGGAGGCTGCTGGCTTGGATTTAATAAGACACAATAAGTGATCCCTTGAAATTTGATAATGCAGAAGACTGAGATTAGATGTGCCCTCATAACATGTCCCACATTGGCAAACAAATCATCATTGCCTAGGGTTGCTAGCTATGTCCAAAGAAGCACTTCTTAAAAGGCAAATGAGTCTCTCTCTGCCTCTCCACAAACCTTGAGCCAGCAGAGTGGTTCACAACCTCACTTTAAAAAAAAAAAAAAAAAAAAAAAAAAAAAAAGGATGCCTGAAAATCATTCTTTTGGCCATAAGACATCAAAGAAATCATATGGCTGGATACGTGTGTGTCAGCCTTTCAATCTTTTTTTCTCTCTCTGAACTCCAACAACAACAACAAAAATTCTGAAAGCATAATACAAAAATATCAAAAAGCGCAACATAAGAATTTCTAAGTATCTCAGAAGGAAACAGCAGTACAAAAAAAGAAGCATGACTTTAAAAAGGCCATGGGATATTCTTGAGTTTTGATAAGAAAGGTGTCTAACCACTAGAGAACAACTTATTGCTACCGCATAGAAGTTACCCTCCCTGCCCACAAACTTCAGTTCTGGATGAATCTTCACCTGTGCAACCTTGGTAGAAACTTAGTTATTGTTATGTACGGAACTGAATTTTTTGTGAGAGTAGAAGATAACAGGACTGGAGTTCCCCACATGCTCTAGGCAAATCAGGTTTTGATGCTATTTTCAGAGATTAAATATGAGAAGAAATAACTAATTTAAGTACAGTGGACACTTAAAATTCAAAGAGGGCAAGTGATTATGCAAGCTGGTTACAGATGCAGATAATGAGGAGGAAAAGCCTCAATTAGAGTAAAATAAACTTTTTTTTTCAACATAAAGGAAAATTGATAATGGACAAAGTAATAAAAAGATATAAATGAGATACCACTCCTACAAGCAGTAGTACTCAAAGCAAAAAAGATTCTCGGGGGATTTATTTCATACAGGTAGGTGGCAGTATTGCATTAAAACAAGAAAAAAAAACTGATCAGAAACTGGGACAAGTATTCCAACTTGCTCTTCCATGATTTTGTGATTAAGGTAATATATTTTATACTTGATAATGCTTTCCTACTGTAGGAAGTTCAGTGATTTCTTGCATCTCTGGTAGGGGCAATTATGGCACATTCGTAAGATTTAAATACTCTCCTAAAATAATATTTATAACACCACATGGCATTTCCAAATTTTATCTGATGCAAGTAAAAAGAAAATATTTTCTACCACTTTGCATGTTATACATAGGCAATTCTCTCCATTTGTTCCTGGCTATTATACTCACAAGCTTGGCTAATCAAGCAAGAGCACGGTACATATTTTTACACTTCACATGGACAGTTGTCCTTTCTTGGCAATGAATTACATCGTTGAAGACAGGATTATTCCCTCATTCCAAAACATTATGAACTGGAAATATTTGAGTTGGATAAAATATTTTGTCCTGATTTAGCAAGCAGTTTTCCCCTAGTGTTTTGGACCTCCTGCAACCCATTAAGACAAGACAGAGATTTTCAGAAATGCATGGCCGTCTAACTGAATTGGTCACCGTTCACACCATGTTTCCAAGAGATCACAGGGAAAAAAAGTGACTGGGTGAACCAAGTGTGTGCACACGTGAGTCTCTGTACACACGTGTGTTTTTTAGTAACTCACTGAAATTCTATCACAGGAACATGGAGGATCTAAAACTTCTAAGAATAGCTGGGTTTAAGCATAAGGCCTAATTTCATTATGAGAAAAAAATATTAGAAAAAGTTCTAGCAATTTTTTTTTAAACTAATGGAAACCTAGTTGCTTATATTTCTTTTAAGCACTTATGACTGTCTTTTACAAGTGCTAGCAAAAAAATTTCCCATTTAAAAACTTATCACACACAACCTGTACAGTAGTCCCATTTGATCATGTGACAAAGCCACAAGAGAGGTATGTGATACCACAATTCTTCACTTGTCAATAAATTATGTTGGTGAAGACAGAATTACACCCTCACTCTGTAAGTTATTGGAAGTTGTAAAGAAGTAAAATCTTATTCTTATATAAATCTTAAAGAAAAATTTAAGAAAAAGTAATGAGCCATGCTATGATTTGTTTAAAACATTTTTTCATGTTTGGCCTCCCTTTGACTTAATGTCCTGGAGAAATATCTAACTCTTCTTAATTCAGAAAATGAAAATTATCAGAATTACTAATTTTCTATAAATTCCATGTGTGTCATATGAGCTTGCAAATACATTACAACTTTGGTTAAAGATGATAAAATCCTACAGTTAGTGTTATTATAAAGAAAGGGATGAAGAACAGAAAAAGTAATTATTGAGTGGCTACAGTTTTCTGACAGATTTTAAATTGAGAGGTTTTTTTCCATTACATGTCAAATTTGTAATTGATTAAGATATTCTGTGCTACTTAATAAGGGCACATATTGAATATCCAACTTCATAAAAAGCACTGAAAATCCTTCTCCCCAAATATTTCCAGCTTGATAGGAGCAGGCAAAAAGCATTAAGAAATGTAAACACAGAACAAAATTGCAAATCCCACCTGATGATCCAAATATATGGCATTCCTTTGAAGGTGATGTGAAAGAATCTCATTCTAGCAGGCAGCAGTCAGGGGGAAAAAGGAAAGGGACAGAGGGTGCAGAATGCATGAAAGGAGCTTTAAAAGATGTAAACTAGACAGTCATCTTTCTGGTTTATGTAGAAATATAATGCTGCTTTTATCTGCTTTTTTTTTTTTTTTTTTTTTGGGTGAATTGTTAACAAGTTTTTATCCCGAAACAGAAGTGATGAAAGTTTGCCACGAATCAGATTACGAACTACATTACGTTTTGGTTTTACATATAAAATACAGTAAGGTCATGTAAATGTCTATTACACAGAGAACTATAAACCCTTTGATAAATCTGTGGCTTAAACATGTCCTGATTTTTGTACACAGATTACAAATAAGACTGCATCTGACGTGAGGCAGTAAAACCAATAAATTAATCTCATGATCTATCATTACTAATTTTGTTTACAACACCAATAGGTTAAAAAACTTTAACTTTAAACTTAATCTTAAAAACCTTAAACTTTGAACTTAAAATATTCCTATGTAATTTTAACTCGGCTAATTTCAAAAAACTATAAGTAAAACCTCAAAGGGTTAATAGCAGAACATCACATTCACAAAGAATCAGTGTTACTCTATTCTACTGCCATAGTAGTCAGAAGATTTTGCAGTAACGGTACAATGCAAACTTTTAATTAATGAATGACTACAAGTTAGTGAGAATGGTACATGACACACATTGCTTTATAGCTGACCTTTGGGCTGCTGGCCTCAAGTTTTAGTTGCATGAGCTGTGCTAGTGTGTGCTCCCGGATACTACTCAGTTCAGCTTGCTGCCGTCTCAGCTTTATTAGCAGCAGCGTGAGCTCCTCTGGCTGAAGGAGTGCAGTGTGAGAAGCCAAAGAGTAGAAAAAAGGTTAATTGGTATCCTAAACAACACTTAGATACTAAGAACCCTTATTTTAATTTTCTTACAAAAAACTTTCTATCGTGATACAGCAAAAGATACACCATTTTCCCCAAACTGACCACCTTCAAATATACAATGTAGGGTTAAGTTTTAACTACTCAAAACACCATAATAATGTAACATTCTCTATAAAGGACAAAAAAGTGAGGATATTGCAGCAGAAAGTCTACAGCCCCCAAACTTTTTCTAGACATGCATATCAAATTGAATATATTGACTTAAGTGAAGGGGGAAAGAATTCCAGCCCCTAGGATAGCATTATCTGTACATGGACAGCCATTTGAGCTTGGTGAAAGAATGAGAAAGTTCCCTCAAGAAAATTTAGTTTCTAAAATATTTCCTCAGATGTATGTGTCCACAATCAGAGCAAATAAAAAAAAACATAACAACTGACATACATCAGAAGGAATCATCTTTCACAAAATAAAACTGCACAAGCATGACAAAAATAATTTCTTGTCCCACCTTTTTTTCTTTTGTGATTAAGATGTACAATACACCCTTAGGAAGGGATAAAGAAGAGTATCTAAAACCAAGGATTCTATATATAATGGAAACACAGTCACACTCAAATGGGTATCTGTCAGGTAATTCCACACAGATCAGTTTAGGTCAGTTTGGGAAACTCTACCCCAACCATTCCTGGGAACCACTTCTATCAGCAATTCTTCAAAGGAAACAGAACACTTAACATCACAAGTATTTTTGTTATGTTCCTGTTTGCTTCTGTTTCTTACACTTCTCCAGAAGTCAGTTTCATTAGGTGTTAAATATTCATCCAGCATTTTGATTTTGTCACAAATTCTGTGAATTAAAAAACCCACCAAATCTGAACACAAAAAAAAACCCCTAAAACCCCGCTTGCTCTCTCCCACAGTAACAGAATTTTCCCAAGGCAAAGAAGTAAAGAAACAAGCTCCAGAGAACCAAATTTTAAATTAGTGAAAAACTAATACTAGTTTCTTAGAATAAAGAAGAAAAAATGTCAGAACAAGTGTGGCGCTGGCACCGTTGCGAGCTCGTACCAACGTAGCCCACAAGAGGGAGCAAGGGATTTCCACATAGCTTCAGTTGTCAAAACCATGTGCTTTGAGGGAAAACCAACACCAAAGCCAAATTATCTGATGGCCAATCTTGCTCTTATGGTACTCTTTCAGTACCTGGATTTAAAATACTTATGTTCAGAAAGTAAGCATCAGAATCTAGACTGCTATACAAAACATTTTCAAGTTCTCTCCAAAACTCGGTGACAATGCTTTCAGTCTGAAAATTAATATAATTTCAAAACACAAGAAAACTTATTTTTATAAATAAGAGATTTGGCAGTAACATCTCCAAACAAAAGGAACAGTGAATCACTTTTTCAAGATCAAAACTTTTCTCAGTATGTTCTGCAAAAGCCCAGTTTTAGTGCATTAGGAATAAACTACATAATGGCACTTAAATCCAATGTTTGCAAGCAAACTTTTCCATAGCAGAAGCCATCAAATAGTAATTCCTACTTCTCCGTAGACATTTGTAATGTTGCAAACATTTTTGACATCCCTGTAAGTGCTGTGCTTTTGATACAGCTCTTGGGACCCTTGCAACAACGACGACACAGAATTTTGTTTAAAGAGCTACCTACAGGTTTTCTCCTCTGGCCCCTACAACACATGTGCTGTGGGCAGAACTTCTGGTTTCCACAGGCAGAAGCTTGGACCTCCTTGCCCCCTACCCCACTCATGGGCCCAGCTCCAGCAGCAGAGCCCAGGAGAGCTGATGGAGCCACAAACCCAAAGAAATATCTGCAGAAGACAAGGCGCAGAGATAAGGCGCCAGCTGCCAAAGGCCAACCCGTAAGTTGCTGAAGGTGCCAGGGAATCATGCTGGGAAGTGAAAGAAACAGGGGTCAAGGCAGTGGAGGATTGACTGGAAAGCTGTTGCCCACAGTACGATTCAAAATCTGTATTCACGATGCCTAACTATCTGGGACAGTAATTTCAGATGGACAGAGAAAGATCACAGAAACAAGACAAAAACTGGTAAATGAATGCAGTAAATTTAGGATGATTTCTTAGCTTTTGGCTAAGAGTCATGTTTCAATTAGGAAGGTGGACAGTATTCACCAGTATTACTTTGATGAAATACCTTTGATGAGGGTTTCAACTCTATCATAGAAAAATGAGAGGTGTCAGAAAGGACATCATTTCACCAAATGCAATTTTAGTATCCTTAAGATTTCCAAAAAAGGTAAACATTATTTCTAGGATTTTCTGAATACTTAATGGAGAGATAAGTGTTCTGGGATGTATTCTACCCTTTCCCAGAGATTTCTGCAATGTATCAAAGATGATTAAAAAATAATATCTGTATTTCTCAAAGAAAATCTGGAGTCAACAGCTACGTAATGTTCTCAGAATTCACTGTAACCAGAGTAATTCTTTATTTGCTTTAAAAATCCCTCATAATTGAAATGAAGTCTACATTTAATGCAAGATTTGAATAGAATAAGACTTCAGTGTTGCCTCTTCATACTTCAAGAATTATTCTTAAGAAAAAACTCATGTACCAAATAAAAATCCAACTCACTGTTTTGCCTTGGAGGCTCTGAGGAGTAACAGGCTGTAAACTCAGACCTGCTGGCATTGACCTTCTGTCGGGCACAAAGACATGCTGTACAAAACCAAAATAGCACAGTATGATCCATAGTTGTCTAAAGACTCAAACAACTATTAAATGCTAAAAAAAATAGTTAAGCCAACTTCATGTTCATGACAAATTTGCTATGATTTGTGCCAGCTTTGGCCAGTCACGCTCCCTGCTGATCTGCCATCTAGGACACTTGAGTAGGCTACCTCTAACTTCTAGAAGTAACCCAGCTTTCATCGTTCATTTAATTAACAGTCCTCCCTCACAGCTGTTGCCCTAATCATAGCCCATGTAAACAACAACAATTTTAGTTTTTCACCCATCACTGAAAGCTGTTTAAAAACCTAAGGCGTCAATATAGATGGAGTTCAAATACTAAATTTACCCCATGGATTTCAGTCTTCTAATTACCCACCTCTTAAAAACAGGTTTGCGTTTCCAAGTTAATGGGAAAAGCTATCTGTGTAACTAAAAAAGCACAAACCAACTAGCACGAAAAACCAGAGGTAAATAAGAATCTTACATAAAAGATGCTAAATATGAAACGAAATACTAGCATAAAGTGGTCCACAAGGAAAAAAAATAAGAGAAAGCAAAACATGTCTGAAAAGACAAGTAAGCACATGCTTGGCAGCACTGACTCTAGTGGTATTTCTCAGATTTGTGAGAAGCACTGATTATAAAATTTTCAGTGCAGTTGAGACAAACATGTCAAAGTAAAGTAACTCCTTAGTTGATAAGGACCTAAGCACTTTCCAAAAAGAAGACTTAGTAAACAACTGGAAGATGTTTAAACTGCTTTAAGACGTCATTAGATATTTTTTCCTGCATTAAGAGACATAAAGACATGTGAGATAAAGATCTCACTAAAAGGTTCAGGAACATTTTACAAAAAACTCTAGTTTTACATTCAACTTAAAGAATATTTTTTTATGTAGTTTCCATTCTGTTAAAAATATGCATAACACATGCATGATGGATATATCAGAGGTATACACAGCACCCAGGTTTAAAATTCTTTATCTTTCTCTTTCACTGATGAAGACTAGCAACGTTACGCCAGTCAGATGCTAAGGTCGTGTGCAAATAGACTGATCTTTTTAGTAATCTCCCTAGTAACTCAAAGGCATCAAAAGAAATGACTACCCTCAGCTTTCTGCAGGATCTGAAGGCAGCCAAACTTGTGTCTGAAGAACAGAAAACAGCATGTGGGAAGAAATCTGTGATTTTCAGTCATCTTAGAGTTCCAGCTAAAAAAGCTAGAAGGGAGAAAGGCGTCTGTACATACAACAAACTATTCTGAATAATTCTACTATTGACTCCTTTTCTTTCCTTTAGAGAAACCTAGTATCATGGACAGCAACAAGTTTTGACCTAGTGGATTAGAAAAATTATCTTTTCACAACCTTTAGGTTTTAAAATGCTTTTTAAAATCAAACCTTTCTCCATAAAAACATTTATGTAATTTAATCTTCATTATAATAATACAATAATATCTTCATTATAATAATCAAATATACTACAGAGCAACTTGAGTTTTACAGTAATGGTATACCTACTAAAAATCCTTGTAAATAAGGTTTTTAACTATTAAAATAAGTATTTTACCTTAGTATGATGTGTCCTGTGTCTGCGATCAATAGTTACATCTCCCCTTTGCACTGGTGAAGACACTTCTGATCGGTATGTCCGCTGTGGGGAATATCCTTGGAAGCCACCAATTGAACCATGAGAAGGTGAGGTGGGAATTGAATGCATCGTCTGATCAGAAATATTCATCATAGTTTTTGGGCTGCTTAAAGTACTATGTCTAGTAAGAGTTGTTTGCTTATTGTAAAACTGACGTTGTTGCCACTCATAGAGCTGCCACATTGTGTCATCCCGCATCGACCTCCGTTTTTCTTCGGCCGTTACTGATCCTATGGCTCTGTCATAAGCCGATGGTGTTACGCTGCAGAGGCTCTCTGGCCGTGCTTTGCTGTTTCTTGGCAGTGTTCTGTAGCCTTCTGGGTACCGGGGTAAAACTTGAGGTCGATGGCTTGGCATGTTTCTTGGTAATGTCTGATATGAGATTATGCTGAAACATAAATTTTCTTTTTATTAGTGGACAGCATTAATAATATGGCAACATAAAGTTTTCCAATAAGTTATGTTTGTCTAGCTGTTACCTTTTTTTTTTTTAATACTGCTAGTGTAATTTTAAAAATACACAAGAAAATCAAGACAATTAAAGAATCAACTATACTGATTGAATGTACTGCAGCGGCCAAAATGGGATCCTCTCTCTGATTAACTGCTCAATTATATAATTACTATTTAATCTTTTTACCTGTTTAACAGTCTAGTAGTGTCAATTTTAGATCAAATCTTGTAACTTCTCTATATGCTGGATAGGTCAAAGTTTTGAAAGCTTAGAAGTTCTATACTGTTTCCACATAAGCTCATCTTAAACACTCTCATTTTCAAAAGTGAAAACTCTCCCATTGTTTCCCCTAAGAAAATCTTGAGCAGTTACTATGGACATAAAAAATATGTGAATTTTTAACACAGAAAATGGAAATATAGGAATAATTATCTAGTGAAATTACATTTTTGCAGTTGTCAATGATAAACCATTCCATATCAGCTATTCAAGTGAAAAAATAGCAAAAATCTTTGTTTGATGATAACAGTTTATTGCTTTTCAACTCAGATATTAATTCAAAGCCTTATTCTTTAATTTGTTGGCACATTAAGAATCTGGAGAGCTACAATCATTTAGCAACTTTTAGGATTAGTTGAAATGCAAAATTTTCCATACTGAGTATTGAAGCATGTCTGAGTATGACAAAGCATTTCTTGTTTTTTTCAGAGGACAAAATCTAGGTCATAAACATTGATTCATTCAACCCTTATCTAAAATTCAGATGAGCACCTCTTAAAGCCTTTTACTGCTTATCACATCTATGATATATGCTTGCCCAGAGACAACAAAACCGATCTCAAATTGGACATGACTCAGCCGTGAGAGGGCAGCAGCTTCTAGCTACACCCCAGACTAATTCAAACTAAAATCCCTGCCATCACGAGGCACCAGAATCTGAGGACACTTTTGAATTACTTCAGTGCCACAGAAACATTAAAGAAATTATGTAGGGTAAACGGCAAAGTAAACCAGCATTATGTATGTTAGATCCTTATGAAGTAACCATGAAGGAAATTGATGATGGTAAAACCCACTTTTCATTGAAAACAGTTAAGCTGAGTATTTATGATCACCTTTAACATTTTGGAGATTAAAACTGCTATAAAGAGCTTTACATACAAAATCTGTTGCAGTTCCTGAAACTTTCCAAGAATTAATGAAGTATTATCCCTACTATTTAGACTGGACAGTTTTCCATTCTCATTAAAAAAAAAAAAAAAAAAGGGAAACGAATTCTAAATCCTACTCTGTTGCCACAGAATCTGCTTAAATACCTCTCAGTTTCTTCATATATCATTGATGATAAGGGCTTCTCTCCACCTCCATATTTAAAAAAACCCAAACAACAAGGACACTGCTGAGTTCAGTTTCTAACTTTGAAAATGTTATTTTGGTTATTCACAAAGGGGTACAGCAAAGCCTGATACTTTCATGAAGAGATCCAGCAGCTGGAGATCTCTCTCACTGAAGCTTCTCTCCCATCTTATTAATTAAATGGGCACTGTAATCCTGTTGGCTCCTTTAAATATCCTGGACAACTTAAAAGAAAAGCTGCCTGAAGTTCTTAATACATAAAGATAGCAGCTTAAAGTCTGCATGCAATTACATATATTCTAGAACATTTGAAGGCAACATATCCATCTTCTATCGGTAAACCATGAAAACAGTAAAAAGCCCAATCACCTCAATATTAAGCCTTGATTTACATAATTTGATAAAATCAAAACAGATTCCCCAATGTCCTGTTAATAACTTGCAAAAATGTAATTGTAGTCAAATCCAAAAAACAACTCCAGACAGTATCGCAGCTTATAGCTGCTTTGCACACAAGGGGAGACTGCTGTAGCCAGTCAAGCAGCCCTCACGCACACTGTGAGGTTGCAGAATACTTCTGCAACTGTGATCATAAATAGCTCCCCACAAATGTTCCCATAGGAAAAAAAGGCTTCCACATGAGCTTACAGTCTCCTTATAGACACCTTTAGAGGTTGCTTCCAGGTTCACTGTTGGGTAGCAATAGTGGTTCTGGTATCCAAGTTGGAATATCTGGGAAAACGACTTTGCTGCTAAACCTTTAGGGGCTCAGTTCTGCAATGCTATGAATGAACACATTGCTGATTTCAGACCCTCAATTCTACTTAGACTTCTGTCTCCAGACAGAAACTGGCAATTTGAACAAAAATTAAATTTAAAATTTAAATGAAAGCACATTCTGAAGACATCACTATACACGAGAAATTTGGATCATTATTCAAGGCCATTTCCACACAAAGCAAAAAAAGACAGGTCAAGGCCAATCCATTTTCCGTTTGCTACTATTACGTAGAACTGCATTTGAAAGCATGCCCTTTGTGCTATCAGTGCCATCCTTATTTAAGCAACAAGTGTTGCTTACAGTTGGAATAGTCAAGAATAAAATATTGTTAATTAGTAACATTGTTAACAGTACTTCCCTCTATTTGATTCCCACAATGAAATCAGTTTTAGGGCTTTTATACTTGCTTGCAACTGAAAAATGGCACAGCTATTCAAATTTCTACTGTTCGGCTGCAAGTTTTACAGGCCAATTTAAAAAATCTAATTGCATCAAACAGCCTTCTGAGTTCTCATTACTCAAGCATGCACAATAAAATAAATGGCAGGGTGTGCAAGTTGCTCTCTGTACCGTAAGTTCAAACTTGATCAAGCCTCTTATGTTGAATACTTCATGAAACACCACATTAACACATCCTAATTATATTTAATGAAGGACTAAAGGCAAGGAGGAAATGTTCAACCAATTTTGGCAAGTGTAAGGGAAACTATTTTTTTTGCAAAAACTGAGAAGCCCCCAGTGCCCATATTTTGAAATTTGTGGAAAATACATTTTCTGAATTTGGTTCTGTCTTAAGCTCTTCTCTGCCATCCATCTATACACAAACTCCCTAATTTCCAACTCTTCAAAATATCTCCATTGATAGCATCTCCAGTTCTTCCTATCTAACGTAATAATAAAAGATTTTATATTTTACTGCTAGAGCTGCTTGTCTGTAAGCCAGCCTGGAAGCAGCACTTCTGTCACACAGACAAATTGCTATCAGCACAAGAATCAATATTGACAGTCATTCACACACAATTTTAAAGCTTCATGAATAAGCACTGGAACTCAATATTAGAACTGGGAGATGTTTAATTTCATAAGAAGAGAAGCTTTAAGCATCAAGTTAGTTAGATTTCTATGATTTACTCTTAGGTAAAGCTTCTCTCTTTCTTCTTTTATTAAAGCTTGTTTAAAGCTTAAAAGCTCCCTGGAATATTTTTGAATAATTTTAAATAAAATACTATTACAAGAATTTGTGAAGAACAGATTTTAAGAGGAAAAATAATTGTTATGATTGATAACACTCCTCCTTGTTCGGATAGAGAAATTTCTAACACCCAAAAAGCGTTTCTGGCCATTTTTAAGTTACTAATATAGTTTAATTTATAAATAATCACACAAATGTTAATAAAAATGAAACTTTAATAAATCTGTTCTGAGTAGTCATCCAGGTACATCTTACAGAAAACAATTAATTATATCTTCATGTAATATTGACCAAAAATTTAAAGATTCTAACAAGGAAATAAGTCTAAGTATTATTTGCTAGAGCACCTAGGAAAAAAAATTACATAGTACTTACCCTCTTGTTTCCTCTTCTTGTCCTTTTCCTCTTTGTATTTTAATCCACTGTTCCAACTGCAGCATTGAATTAGTTCTCTGCATAACTCTTTCAGACTCCATATGTGACTGAACCGCATTGTGCTGACCTCCAGCTCCAGCATCTGCCAGGACAACACCAACAGCTTTATTTTCAGACCCATTTAAATGAACTGGTCTGAAGTGTCCAGCCTGAATCGTGGTTATGGGTAAAGTCCTGTATTCAGATCCCAAAGGATTTAGCTTTACGCTGTTTATTTTTGTTAATGGTTTATCTTGCCCAACTTTCTGGAATCCATATTTTTCAGCTTCCAAAGCTTTCTTCTCCTCATTTTTGTTCACTTCTTTGTTTTTCTGGTTATTTTGTGCCTCTGGCTTAATTAGCACCCGATGGTTTGAAATATTATTTGTCTCTCGAGGTGGTGTATTTTCAGTGGTTAACTTCTCTGCTCTGGAAAGAAATATATGACAAGCTATAATAACAACAAAACATTCATTAAGAAATAACAATACAAAATGAAAAGTTAATTTATTTCAGATAATCCCTGTCCAGATATTTGACACCACTATCTTGTATTTGACAGAAAAATCCAGGACATATTTTCATAATTATCAAGGACAGGCCGGCTTTTTTGTTGTTACTGTTTTGGGTTTCTGCATTTGTTTGTTTGTTTTGGGGTTTTTTTTGTGGTGGTATTTTTTTGGTTGGTTGGTTGGTTTTGTGTTTTTTTGATTCACAAGTGTGAATGTTTCTTAGAATCATAGAATGGTTAGGGTTGGAAAGGACCTTAAAGATCATCGAGTTCCAACCCCCCTGCCATGGGCA